TAGTGTGTGTGTGTGTGTGTGTGTGTGTGTGTGTGTGTGTGTGTGTAAGTCTTTTGTCTGGCGACAAAAATTTCCCTGGAACCTAACCCCCCCATTTACATGAATTCTTATGGGGAAATTGGATTTGCTTAACATCATTGCGCTTAAAGTAGCATTTTTCAGGAACAACTACAACATTAAGCGAGGAGTTACTGTAATAATTATTCAATAAGAATTAAAAAAGAAAACCACAGTAGCACTACACAAAAACAAAAACAAAAAATCAGTTGAAGTAAAGTATCATAAAACAAGGGATGGTGAAGAGCATGGTCCTTTGTGAATTGAAATAAATCAATTTTAAATATAGTGCCAAGATACCACAGTGAAGAGTGGTATAGAAATTCATAAACATTGTTTGCTTCTTCGTTTTTTTAACTTGAAAACAAATCTAATTTCCTCCTTTCTAATTTTGTCTTTTTGTCATTATTCCTTGATTGGACTGGAACTGTAATTACCAGGTCTGTTTTTTATTTTTAACATCAGCCTGTGTAACAACTTGAATCAAAGAACTTTTGTTATCAGCTCCACTTGATGTCAGCAAAGTTCTGTTCAATGCTGGCTTTTTCTCAATTTGATAAAGCCAGCAAACTTTGTGTAGGAGGAAGGTCTACAATATTTTGTCTATTGTTTATATGCTATTATTGTTTTCAGTGACAAACTGTGAAATACTTATTCTCTGGTAACAATTACTGTTTTTCATTGCAACAGTGAATTAATTTCATTTTTGTTTATTGGGGAAATATTTCTGTACCATGAATTCAAACTGGACAATTAAACATTTTAGACAGAGCTAGACATCATTCCTCAATTCAGAGAACCTAGGTGCACTGCTACACCTGCACCAAGCCTTATTGAAGTCAGCAGAGCTCCACATGGGTGCAGAGAATAGGAGGATTGGAGCCACAGCTGGGTTGGTAGCTAAAAGAAAAAAAATCAGTAAGTTTCTATTTGAAAATTAAGATCCCAACACTGCCCTAAAAGAAGTTTTTGCTGTAGGAATTCTTTCTTGGATGTTTGCTCACTCATTTTGTGAGCAGTGTGAAGTCATATGCTTTTAAAGACCAGTTTTACTGTCGCAAGTAACAAATTTAAAATCATGAATCAACAGAACAGTTGGTCCATGTTGGATGCAGACATTCATCAGTACCTCTTTATAAAGAAAGTATAGTTTTCCTGTTGTAGCTAGACATTAAAATAATGGAAGGTGATTAATTTTTCTGCCTGAAAATTTGCTCCTTCCATGTGGAATATGTTTTTTGAGAGAAAGAGGTGTAGTCTAGTGGTATAAACAAAGGAGTGGAGCCCAGGTACCTCCTAAATTTTAATCATAGCTTTTACAGTGATTCCTTTTTGATGCTGGGCAAGCCACTTTCAGTGTCCCCATGTGTGAAAAGGGGCTAATAGTACTTACCTGCTTTATATGCTGTTATGAGAATTATTTAATATTTGTAAAGCCCTTTGAAATGGAAGAAGCTAAGTATTAAAATATTCATGGAATAATGCTGTGACTTTTGTTTGTTCTTAATGATTGCAGTGTGCACTGGCTTTCTTTGGTTAGACTTTTAAAAAACAGTTTTTCAGTTAATAGGAATGATAGAACTAACTGAGATAATCTCTGATTTGAACTGTGTACTTGATAGTATTTCTAAAGCTTTTAACAAGCTTTTAGTGTTTGAATATAAAACTTGTGTTTTCAAGGATAAAAATCTTTGAATGTTTCCAAAGCACCATTTTTATAATTTAATAAATATGAAGCATTATGTTGCTGAAGTTCAGTTGCCAGAATCAGGGGAACAGTTTAATTTACTCTGATCTCCCTTTGAGAGGTATTGGGGGACACTACTTGACCTAATGAAGCGTTTCATGGGCCTTTGCATGGTTTTTCTTCCTCCCACATGAAAGCAGCCATCTCTAGGAGAAGTGGCAGATATACGTGCAGAGTGCCAGATAGGATTTCTAAATAGAACTCGATGATGGCTGAGATTGTAATTAATCAGCATTCAGGTCTTGAGTGTGTAATTCTATGTCCAGGTGTTACATAAACAATGAAATACTATATGTTCATTTGATTAAATTACCACTTGCCCAAGAAAATTGCAAACATAAAATGCATAATTATAAACAATTAACAGACCTGTAAATCCCAGTCTCAAAACAGAGATTGAGTTTGAAGAGAAATGTTTTATTATTTTGAACAGGGACGTGGTTATCATTTATAAATCAACATAACTTTAGTTTTGTATTCCTAAAGATTATCGTAAGGGGGGACACTCACCTCTCTGTGAATGCCTCTTGTCGTCTGCGTGTGGTGCTGCAATCTTTTTTTCTCCTGGCTCCCCCTGTAGGTTGTCAACCTCTTTATGCAGGTCTTCAGTGCCTGAGTCTCCGGTTATGTCACACAGTCAATATGAATCCTTTCTGGGGTATTCAAGTCTAAAACAAATACAAACAAAAGTCTTCCAATCCTTGGCTCAAGCTGGGCTCAGCTCCTCCTTCCTGAGAGTGTCTTTTCT